CAAAAGTGAAAAAAAAGTTCGTGAAAAGTTTGGAAAAACAGTTCAAAAGCCTAAGATAGAAGTATTCTATAATAGGGACAGGGTATTTCAATTATTCAGAAATTGAATGGAGCCCTTCTTTATTCTAAAAACAGAGATGCAAATAAACTCCTGGCTTGCCTTGATGGCAATTTTATTCTTCGAAAGGTAGAAAAAGTGACAAAGAAAACAGCGACACTGACCCCACTTTTGATCAACAAGAAATAACTGGCTGCTGAATAACAGGGAATCTGGGGGCAAGTGACCACTCCAACTTAGAATTCATGATAAAGAAATAATAAGAAATAATAAAGGATAGTAAAGAAAAATAAAGGAAACAAATCTCAACATGCACCCAAACTTTGCAAAGAGTGGATTTAGGTTTAGACAAATGGCTCACATGACCATATGGCCAAAAAGCCTATGGGGCAAATCAGCCTAAAAAAGTACATGATGAGGAGGGCAAAACTGCATAATTCTGATTTAAAAAAAAAAAGATCAAGGGTTTTAGTGTACTGCACAGTAGACTGCAATATGGCAGCATTCTGAGGCTGGATTAAAAGAAGAAAAGGTTTGAGGGGCTTCAAGATCATGCCATATAAGGATCAGCTGGAGGAACTGGGGATATTTAGCCTGGAAAAGAGAAGATTTAACAATGATAAGAAATGTGAATGACTCACAATTTCATCTAAAAATTAGGCATTTAATGGTAAGGCTGCCACCAGGAAGAAGGATTAGATTTGTTCTTCTCCCCAGAAGGCAGCACTAGGAACAATGGGTGAAAACTGAGGCGAGGTAGCTTCAGGCTTAAAGTAATGAACAAATTATTAAAAATTAGAGCTTTCCAAAAGTGGAATGAACTGCATAGAAGAGGAGAGGTTAATCCTCACCAGAGGTCATCACGCAAAGGCAAGAAGACCACTTGTTGTGGAAGTTGTTGAGAGGACTCTTATTTAGGTTATTAGAAGATCCCTTACGTTCCCTCCAACTCTGAATTCTCTGATTCTGAATCTGGCTCAGCTATTTGCCATTTGTGCAAAGTCGCTTCCCCAACTACGGGCCTCAATTTACTCATTTGTAAAATGAGAAGATTGTAATGATTTCCTATCTCCCTTCCACATTTAAATCCCATGATCCTATGAAATGCTGGTATTTCAATTCCCAAAATTCTTATGGTGAAATAAGTATTCAGAAATAACTGCAGCATTCATGCACCACTGAAATGCGATTTTAGCATGTAGGACAGAGTCTCCTATCACATGAAAGTATTTTGATAAATTTTTCAGTATAAAATACATTTTTACATTATGATTCCTCAGTGAAGCATATTTGGAAAACAGTAAATGATGGCAACTGCTTTAAAAACAGTAAGAGATTTAAAGGTTTAAAAAAGGCCTTTACTCTTTCTCACTCTTTATTCTCCCCAGTACTTATCATTCCACAATGAACTATGGTCCCTGGTGACAGCATATGCTGAATACCATTTTTAAACATAAAATGTAAGATGAAAAAATATATATAAAAATAGCACTAAGGCTCTCAGGGGTTTACTTTAATGGGAGCATTTAATACACACCTCAGGCAATTGGAGGCCCAGGTTCAAAGCACTCCAGAGACATGCATTAACAAATCCATAAAATATGCTCTGTTGTGTTTGATGGATTGTCTAAGGATAAAATACTTCCATTTGGAACATCTATTTATGGTACCATTCAAAGCCTCATGAGTAGTAGTAGTACCAATCTCCCCACTGTTATCTAACATAATTCTAAAGTTGATTGTCTAAAGTCAATGCAAAAAATGTAAAAAAGATGATTTTGTTATTAAAGTGGAAGAGAGCCTGACGAAAAGATAGAGGACAATGATTTCTCAAAGTAAAAAAATAATATTTTCCAAATACTCTCCATAGAAATATAGTGCACTACATTCAAAGTCAAAAGAGTCAAGTTGGCAGACCAGCTCTACAGCTTACTAGACTTAGGAACTTGGGAAAATTATCAAATTCTGAGCCTCAGTTTCCCCATCTGTCAAATGGGGACAATCAGGCTTGGACCACCTGTGTCATGGGGTATCATGAGGATCAAATGAGAAATGTCTGAAAACACTGTGAAATTATAAATATAGGCTATTAATTGTCATCCTGCCTGTTACAGAATACAAATGGGGGCAGCAAGGTGGCGCAGTGGATTGAGCTCCGGCCTTGGAGTCAGGAGGACCTGAGTTCGAATCCAGCTTCAGACACTTGACACTTACTAGCTGTGTGATCCTGAGCAAGTCACTTAACCCCTACTGCCTCACCAAAAAAAAAGAAAAAAAAAGAGAATACAAATGCTGTGGTAGTATTGTAAGAATGGCTCAGGCTGTAGGGCAGCTAGGTGACGCAGTAGATAGAGCACCAGCCCTGGAGTCAGGAGGACCTGAGTTCAAATTCGGCCTCAGACACATAACACTCACTAGCTGTGTGACTCTGGGCAAGTCACTTAACCCCAATTGCCTTACCGGGAAAAAAAAAAGAAAGAAAAGAATGGCTCAACCACTCTTCTACCAAGGCAAAGGCTCTCTTGCCTAGTTTTATTTTATTTAAACTATGTAATCAAAAAGGGTTCTATCAACCTAGAACCAGGGATTCCTTTAGTGTATGAATGGAACCTCTTTACACTTATAACACCTATTCCCCTCTAGCCCTTTATTGACTGTATTTAATCCTTCTGAATAAATTTAAATAAATAGACTCTGGCAGAAAAGGATGGACTTCTCCCAGGTCTGATGATCAATTCTTTGAGGAGGCAGCATAGGACGAGGACGAGGAGATCAGGAGGGAATGTCATAGGAGTGACAGTAAGTAACTCCATTTGTTTCAACAACTCACTGGTCTTCAGAATCTTCTTTGGTAATAACTGACCTCCAAGGTCCCTTGACCTCTACAGATTCTAACTTTGCAAAAAAAGAGGGTAGACGGGGAGAGGATTCTGGGAAGATGGCAGAATAGGTCAGAAAATTCCAAGTTCTCAAGATTTTCCTCCACAAAAGAGAGAAAACAGCATCTCAAGATTAATATTGAGTGGATAAAAATAAATAAGAGTAGGGGCAGAACAGGGGTCTTCCTTGGACAATCAGAGAAGATGTGAAGAAAAATCCCATGACAAGGTTTGGTCCCTGTGAAGAATAAACACCTCCAGGCTAAGGACCGCTTAAACAACAAGCGGCAAGCCCTGGGGTTAGCTGGGCTGGGAGGCTGCCTCAGCCTGAGAGACAGGAACTTTTACCACTGGACAGTGAGGGAGTTGGGCATCTGAGCCAGGGAAGATCAAGGGAACCCCTGCTGACAGAGAATGCCAGACCCAGCTGTGCTGAGGAGGCGACCAGAAACAAGGAGGAACCAGCACACACCAGGCGAGATACTGTTGACTGAGGGCACTTAGAGGAGGCTGGAGGTCTTGGTTTGGGTGCAAGGTCAGACAGGAGAACAGAAGGAGGATCTGAGGCCAGAGGCCCCATCCCCCATACCCCAGGACTAGAGGTGATCACAAAAATTAAGCTATTACCAAAAAAAAAAAAAAAAGCACAGGAAAAAGGAGGAAGAATCCAATCACAGACAGTTACTGTGGGAATAGAGAAGACCAGGGTTTATCTTCAAAGGAGGATACTGAAACAAAGAACCCTCTTCTACCCCAAAAAGTCATGTCAAATGGTCACCTGCCCAAAAAGAATTCACAGAAGAACTTAAAAAAGACTTAAAATCAAATGAGAGAGACTGAGGAAAAACTTAAAGCATAATCCTGAACAGAAAAAAAAAATGGACATTTAATAAACTGTCAGACTTTCAGCCTGAACTTAATAGAAGATTTGACATACAAGAGCCAAGAGAAATATAAGGTACATACCAAAGACTAATTACAAGGGATTAAATAAGGACAGATTGTTTACTTTTTATGTATGTAAAATGCAAAATGTATGTCCAAGATTGTTGGTAGTAATTGGGTAGTTCATAAAAAAGACTGGGGTAGACCTGAGCATTATATGACTTCAAAAAGTAAAACCATTCAGGAACAGCTAAAAAGAGTAATTATCTTATACAAATGAAGAGTGAGAGGAAGAACCAATAGAGAAAAATTAGATGGGGGAGGAGGGCTGTTAGTTCTGGAAACCCATTTTCATCAGGAATGGGTTCAAGAGTGAACAATATATATACATCTAGAAGAGTATAAAAGTCTTCTAAATTTAGAAAAATAAAATGCTAAGGGAGCAGGGAGAGGATAAAATAGGATCCTTTAGAGGGGAGGGTGAGGGAATAGGTTAAAAGGGGGATATAGAAGGGGTAGGGGAATGGGAAGATAAGGGAGGGATTGCTGGAGTAGGGGTAGGTCAAGTAATAGGAGGGGAAGGTAGCAGGTAGAAATAAAGTAGAGGAGTCAGGAAGGACAGGAAACAAGAGATACACACAAACATATAAACAAAGATTAGGAATAGAATCTCTTAGGAAAAGTATATGTTTATACATGTATATATGTATATGTGTATGTATATATTAATATCTATATATAAATATATCCACACGTAATTGTAGCCTGCGGGGGGGGGAGGGGAGAACAAAGTAAAAAATGTGTAGCAGAGAACAAAAGAAAAAAGATGGATGGCTTTCAACAGAGTATTTAATATACAGGCTTTCTTGAAATGGAAATTTATTGCTATAGGTTTTGAATCCTCTCATGTTCTGCTGTATACATGATATGCTTTTTTTCTTATTTTATATTTGTCTTAATATTTAAGTTTATGTTTCTTCTTTTTTTATTATGTACTTAAGTTTAGTATTCAAGTGTAAAGTTAAAAAAAACAAAGATAAAACAATAAGAGAACAGATTAATGAAGCATCGCTGGCATGTTAAAACCCTGGCATCCTGTATGTAATTTATCATACCTGTACTATTTCCACCACATTGATAGTGTTTCAACACAAAGTACTTATTAATTAAAATTCTTACCTTTTTTGAGTGCCTAGTAGTAAACCACATCCAAAATAAACTAAAGATAAAAAATTTCTACAATCTTCTTTCTTCTGAATTTCCATTTTCATTGTCATGAATTTACTTCTAGCTTCAGAATAATCCTGGAGGAATAAAAAGCCAAGTCTGGTTTTATATAAAAGGCTAGAGAAAATATGGTAATCTAGAAGAATTTTATTCATTCATGTATTGGGTCCTCTAATTCAAGTCTCATGCTCACAGATAAAATTTACAAGCAATCACCCCTCCCTAACCAATGTTGCAAAGTATAATAAGATATTTCAAAGTAAACAACCACAGCAACAAAAATTTGGAGTGGTGACAGCCACTACCATTCAAAACTGGCACATTTTTACTAACCATGGAAGGTTTGTCATTCCTCAATGAAAGTATTGTATAACATTCACCTATGGAGCAAGTCACTTTATTCAGCAGAATTAGACAGATCTTGGGGGACGGGAGGGTGAGAAAGACAACACTGATATTTATAAAATGATAGTAGTGATGGTCACCAACTTAACCATCAGCAATTCTAATAAAATCTGAAGTTACAATAAAAGATAAGCAGGGTTAGGAGAAACATAGGCTCATAGTTTTTAGACCATATTGGTCATTTAGGCTAAACCCCTTGCTTTAGAGATAAGGAAACTGAAGCCTGGAGCGGTTAAGAGACTTTCTCATCTATGTTACCCTACAGGAAAGTAGGAGGGGAAGGGGATAAGAGAAGTGGGGTGCTCATAGAAGGGATTGGGGGAGGCAGCAATCAGAAGCAAAACACTTTGGAGGAGCGACAGACTAAAAGGAGAGAGAGAATAGAATAAACAGGGCAGGGGAATAGGATGGAGGGAAATACAGTTAGCAATCCTAACAGTGAAAAAAAATTTTGAAGCAAGTTTTCTAATAAAAGCCGCATCTCCCAAATATATAGAGAAATGAGTTAAATACAAAAATAAGAGACATTTCCCAATTGACAAATGATCAAAAAAATATGAACGGTCAGTTTTCAGATGAAGTAATCAAAGCTATCTATAGCCATACCAAAAAATGCTCTAAATAACTATTGATTGGAGAAATGTAAATTAAAAAATGATACATACCTATCAGATTGGCTAATAGGACAGAAAAGAAGAATGACATGCTGGAGGGGATGTGGGAAAACTGAGACACTAATACAATGTTTGTGGAGTTCTGAACCATTACACAGAGCAATTTGGAACTATGCCCAAATATTTATAGCAGCTCTTTTCTGGTGGCAAAGAACTGGAAATTGAGGGGATGCCCATCAATTGGAGAATGGCTGAACAATTTGTCCCATATGATTGTGATGTAATACCATTGTGATATAAGAAATGATGAGCTAGATGCTCTCAGAAAAACCTGTAAAGACATGAACTGATACAAAGTGAACTGAGTAGAACTAGGAGAACATTGTACACAATAACAGCAAAAGTGCAAGATGATCATCTGTGAATGACTTAGCTATTCTCAGCAATACACTAATCCAAGACAACTCTGAAGGACTTAAGATGAAAAATTCTATCCATCCCCAGAGAAAGACCTAATGAAGTCTGATTGCAGATCAAAGAATACTTTTTAAACTTTCTTTCCTTTTCTTGGGTTTTTATTTTGTTCTATGTTTTCTTTTACAACATGATTAATATGGAAATATGTTATGCATGACTACACATCTATAGTCTACATCAACTTGCATGCTTTCTCAATAGGAGGGGTGGGGAGGGAGGGAGAGAATTTGGAACTCAATTTTAAAAACGAATGTTGAAAATTGTTTTTACACGTATATGGGGGAAAATTAAATACGAAATTTAAAAAAGAGAGACACTTTCTCAATTTGAACCTGGGTCCTCTGACTTTTAAATCTAGTACCCTTTCTACTACACCTCCTTTTCTCCATAATTTCAGAATTTGGCCTTGACACTAAGGAAAAGTAAATAAAAATAATGCAATACAATCTTTAGTTTAAGAATTCTTTTTCAGGGGGCAGCTAGGTGGCACAGTGGATAGAGAACCAGCCTTGAAGTCAGGAGTACCTGAGTTCAAATCTGAACTGACACTTCCTAGGTGTACGACCCTGGGAAAGTCACTTAACCCCGATTGCCTCAAAAAAAAAATAAAATAAAATAATATATGTTTTTTAAATTCCCACACATGCCATTTCAAATATAAATTAATATTATATAGAGGCAATATGGTAGAGTGTATAAAATATTGAGTTTAGAGTCAGGAAGAACCAGATTCAAATCTGAATTACCTTGGGCAAGGCACTTAATCTTTATGTGCTTGAGACAACTACCTTGAGTTAATCTACTAAGTCATAGGCAGGTTAATAGACCTGCATTGGTAGAGGGAGTTCCCAAAGCATATTTAAGAAATCATAGGTCTTTTGAATATTTGTATATTAAAATTTTTATATGCAAAGAAGTGTAAATTTAGGCACATTAAATTCTATCATGGTTCATTAATAATTCGGATTTATATTAACACAGTACAAGATAGATAGAAAGTTGTTTTTTTTTTTTAATCCAGACTGAATTTATAGATATTTATTATGGCAACAAGAAAACAGAAAGAACATCAAGGTTACTTATATTTCAGGAATATGTCAGCAAGATAATTGAGGAAATATAGGAGAAGATAATGCAAAATCAGAAAGACAATCACAGAATCCTAAAAAGAGATATTGCAATGGTCAGGGAATCTGATCCCCTTATTTAAAAGATGAAGAAACTGAGTCTCAGCAAAATTAAACTCCAATATAAAAACATCAAAATATAATCTGAAAATGCTATCGAGAAGTATAAATGACTTTCAGTTTCACTTAAAATTAGATATTTAAGAGTTTAAAATGTCACATTTGAATATAAACACAAGCCAAGCTTGGAATAAGTGAGATAATTAGCCAATGTAAATTGCTTCCCATTATTTGTTTTCACTTTCATAATCACAGTTACTGATTTTTGGTGTTCAGATTTAGAAGCATATGATAGAAGAGTCATCGAATAGTTCCAGTTTTTAAAAAACATTTTAAAAATCAGCAGTTCCATTTTCTAAACCAACTAAATTTGAGTGAATAAAAGGAAAAGAATATTTACGTGTTTCTGTAAGTCATATACTTACCTGCTTTGTCCCCCTTTCAATGAGTGCTAATCCATATATAAATAGTAATGTCAGATAATAATCCATATTTAATTGATGTCCCTAAAAATAAAAAAGTTTTGAAAGATCATTTCCTGGAATTTATGAGATTTGATCAAGCTCTCTAGACTAAGAAATATCTAAGAACTGTCAACTAACAATTTATGCAGTAAAAATGATTGTCAACCACTAATTATTACAGAGAATTAATAAAATACTACTTGAGATGCATTTGACAACTTGACCTGGGGGTGGAGAGAAAGATATTTATGCAAAGTAGAAAAGTCAAAAGTCTTGAAACAAAACATTCCCTAGAATTAGAAGAAAAATAAAAAAGCAATACCAATGAGGTTTATTCGTTATAATTCCAAACACATAAACAGTTTCTGTTTATCATTTAAACTATTCCCCTTCTTAAAAGTCTCAGCTTTGCATAGGGCTATGTAACTTTCTACCAAGACATTCCTTAACGCAAAAAGGTCCTCAGCTCAGCCTATTGTGTAGAAAAACTTTTTCTTTCATTTAGAACAAGAAATGGAGCCATGTTTATTCTGTAATTAGAGAGTTTAAGAATTTCAATGTACAAGAGACATTCCTATTTCAAAATCATTCCACTCTCCTAGCAGGTGTTAGATTGAGTTCTGTGGTTCCTTCCAATTTAAAAAATAATAATTTTATTGATATTTTGCAATAATATCAGCTACACCTTCCAATGTATCTCTGCTGAGTGGACAGTAGAAACCATGAAGATAAAAACATTTGGAGTCACCTAAACATGTCCTGTTCTTTTCCACCTTTAATGCCTTTGCTCATGGGATTTCCTGTCTGAAAAGTTCTCCCTTCCCCCAATTCACCTGATGCATTCCTACCTATCCTTTAAAGTCCAACTCAAATGCCACCTCCTACACGAAGCTTTCTCTGAGGCTCTGTGTTGTGAACAGCCTCTTTCCTTAGGCAATAGATGGTATTTTATTCTTACATTCCTCCCTCTCTTACATTCTCATGGTATGATGATGTACACAAATTCCAACCTAACTCATAGGATCACAGCTATAGAGCTGAGGTTAGAAAAGACCTCGAGGCCATCTAATCCAATGCCCTCCTTTTATGGATGATGAAACTGAAGCCCAGCAGGCATAGTGATTCACAAGTGTCACAAGCAAGAAAGGCAGAATCTGAACTCAGATCTTCTGATTCCAGAACCAGAGTTATTTCCATTGTACCTGTATGCAATCACAGTTATCTATGTTTCTGTTTTACAGTTAGTGGGGCATAGTAGATAGAGAGATGGGCTTGAACATAGAAAACCTGGGTCCAAATCATATGACCCTGGAAAAGTGACTTAATTCTTATGTGTGTCTGACAACTCCCTAGGACTTATCCACTAAATCAATGATGAGTTGCTATTTGCATTGGTGGAAAAAAATTACCGCACATGCCATTCCCAGGCTGATGTAATCACAGAACATATTTCACATACTTCACATGCTTGTCTTATTCCCTTACTAGACTATAAGTTTCAAGAGCGCAGGAATGGAGTCTTATCTAAACTTTGGATCTCCTCCAGTACCTAGAACACTCCTCTGTATACAGCAGGTATTTAATAAAATATCTGTTGGATGAAGATACAGAGGTAATATAACTTCTATTCTATAACCACATCAGAGGGAAAATTTAGTTTAAAAAAAAAAAACCAGGAAAGAAGGTATAGCTTCATCTCCTCACAAATGAGAAAATTCCTAACAGTAGTTTGGATTTCTCATTACTTCAGAGGAATAACTTCTTGGTAGAAAAAGCAAACAGAGAGGGCCCACTGTAGACATCAGTCACATAACCAGGCAGGCACCATATGGTGGAGGGAGACATTGTCTACGCGCTCTGCTCTTTGAAGTCAGAAAGGGATTGCCTCTAACCCCAGAGCAGGCAGATATGGGAATTGGCCTGATGAAAAATGTAGTACAAGTTAATTGCTTCATAGTCCAAAAAGGAAAGACTTACGTTACAATTAGCCGCTCGAATTTTCTCAAGTGTCATATCCAGCTGTGTGATCAATACCTCCAAAGATAGCCTGGGAACTGTTGGCACCCCTTTGAGACTGTCAGCTGCACCATCATCACTCTGTGGAGAAAGTTGAATTGAAAATATTTTTAAACTAGCATCAGTGTCTATGTATTTTATTTTTAAATGTTTCTAATAAAGTTTCTTTGTATAAAGTGTCTAGATATATGAGGGACACTTCCAGGGGTTACAGCAATGCTTTCGAGTTAGAAGGTGTGAATCCCATTACCACTGCCTACGAAAAGCTCACTTGTTGTAAAGTCTGTCAGTTAGCAAGAATGTATTACGTGTTTATGTGCAGCTAGGTGGTTCAGTGGATAGAGTGTTGGGCCTAGACTCCTTCCCAAACTCAAATCTGGCCTCAGACACTTACTAGCTGTGTGACCCTGGATAAATCACTTTATCCTGTTTGCCTCAGTTCATCTGTAAAATGAGCCTGAGAAGGAAATGGCAAACCACTCTAGTATCTTTGCCAAGAAAATCCCAAATGGGATCATGAAGAGTCAGACACAACCAAAAAACAACTGAACAACATTATGTGTTTACCATACGCCAGGCACTGTGCTAAGCACCAAAGAGGCAAAGAAGGGAGAAAACGAAAACAACAACAACAATAACAACAACAACAATGGTCCCTCCCTTCAAGGAGCGCACATTCTAATGAGGGAGATGTCATGGAAACCATTATGTACATACAAGACATATAACAATGTAAATAGAAGATAGTTATCAGCAGGTGCAGTAGTCAGTCAACAAGCATTTATGCAGTGATAGAGACAGATAGGTATACACATACATATGTATGAATGTGTGCACACATATACATATATGCCTATGTGCCAGGCACTGTGCTAAGCTCTAGGGATACAAAGAAAGACAACAAATAGACAGTCCCTGCTCTGAAGGAGCTCACAGTCCAAATGTGGGAAACATACACACAAGATATATTCAAGATATATTGGAAATAATTAACAGGAGGAAGGCACTTAGCATTAAGAAGAAAAGGTGGATTTGGTAGAGCACCAAGCAAACTAGAGCTAGCAGCACTCAGGAGCCTCAGGTCTGGACTTCAGAACCAGCTGACCTTCACATCATTCTGTTAGGGCACATGCTGATGTTTCATGCTTAAGGAACTATATGGCTGTGTGGGTTCATCACTGTTACTGGAAGTAACACTACTTATTCAAGATTTATATCAATGCACAGGTATGGCCTTCCCTAGAGTAATACTCAATGTGCATTCTTTATCCATACAAGCACAGCATTAATAGAAGGCGGTAGATTAATAGGAGTCTCCAAGACACAAGGTGTTCAGATAGTCCAAAGAACAGATGGTCTAATGACAAAGACTTCCATCCCTTAACCCAACCACAGTGCTTTTCTCCAGTGCCCCATTTACACTCTGAAGAAGGGACCTTTCCATAAAGATGACAGGCACCTGTCTCCATGACAATCCCTCCACCAATAACAATGAACTTTGGTTCACATAGAATACTGATGCTTCTCAAATACCAGTTTTGTATATATCAATCAAAAAAGTAATAAGCATTTCTTGAGCACCTACTATGTGCCAGGTGCTGTGACATCTAAGTGTTAAGGATACAAAGACAAATATTAAATAGTCCTGGCCCTCAAGCAGCTCATATTCCATTAGGGTAGATAACATACATATAAATAAGTACAGAATATATACAAAACAAATATATACAAAACATAACAAGGAAACATTGGGAGGGAGGGTATTAGGAACCAGGAGAATCCAGAATTGCTTCATGTAGAAGATGTGGCTTAAGAGTCTAAAGACCTGGGTTTCAAATCCCACCTCTGGGGTTTACTACTTGTGTGAACCTCAGCAAGTCACTGAATTTCCCTCTGCCTCGGTTTCCTCAATTATAAAATGAGGGCATTGGACAAGACAGCCTTTGAGGTCCCTTCAAACCACAGAACTATGATCCTACGGTCCTATGATTCCAAGAAACAGAGATAACAAGGAGTACATTCGAGGCATGGAAGACAGCCAGTATTAAGTCATTGATACAGATGAAGTGTCAAGTGTGAATGGCACCCTTTATAATGGGGCCCCATGGTACTACGGAAAGAGCAAGGTTCCTGAAGTCAGAGGATCTGGCCTAAAATCCTACTTCTACCATTTTACTATCTGTATGACTTGGGCAAGTCACCAAATCTCTTTGGGCCCCAATGTCTTCAAATATAAAATGAAAGGGTTGAGTTAAAGGGGTTCTAAGATCCTTTCTGGCTTTAAAACTATGATTCTATGATGAAGGTCCATAGGCGGGAAGCTTAATTTTCCATTTTATAAAAACATATGAAAAAAATATATGGAAGCTAGTGGTTATTTACAAAAAAAGATACTAAGTAAAGACTAACTGGTTTTAAATATTCAAATGCAATCCAACAATTATTAAGCACCTACTAAGTTCTAAGTACTATGCTAAGAACTAGAGGAAGTTTTTAAAAGTTCACATAAAAATGCCCTCTGCTCTCATGAAGGTAATAGTTGATCATTATTGATGGATACAGATTCATAGTGACCAAAAGGAAAATGAAGCTTTCCAATTAATAGCCTATGGCATCATACCAATTAAATTATGTATACTCTCAAGAGGAATGGGCTATACAAAGTTGCTGTTTTGAAGACCAAGGAATTTTGGGACAGCTATGTGGCACTGGGCCTGAAGATTCATCTTCCTGAGTTCAAATCCGACCTCAGACACTTATTAGCTGTGTGAACCTGGGCAAGTCACTTAACCCTGTTGGCCTCAGTTTCCTCATCTGTCAAATGAGCTGAAGAAGGAAATGAAGAACCACTCCAGAATCTGCCAAGAAAACTCCAAACAGGGTCACAAAAAGTCACACATGACTGAAATGACTCAACAACAGCAACAACAAAGCAAAATTTTAATTCTCATTTTTTTTCTCATTTCTCTGAATTTTTTTCTCATTTCTTTAAAATAAATTATATTTTCCATTGAAAAGTACAAGTATTACAACATGGAAAGGAAACCACATATCAGAACTTCAAAAGAGCTATGATCTCATACATGTAGATGTTCTGGGGTTTGTTTTCAATATTTAGATCACTATTTGCATTACAGTGAACAGTGTATTGCTGATCTGCTCCCTGTCTCTGCCAAAGTGCTATAGAATTTTCACAGATTTTATTGAATAAAGAATACTCTCCCTAGAGTTCCAGAATCCAGAGTCTGTCAAACATCAGATTATGTATCTAGTTCTAGCTCATTACGATTTAATCTATTTCACTAATCTATTGTCTAGTTTCTAGACAATACCAGAGTTGGACATGTGTAGTTCTTTCTCCTAAAGATTTTGTTTTAGTTTTTTCCACATGTAAAGCAACTTATTCAAATTTCACATCTGAAAATTACATGTTTTTTATTTCCTGCATCAATAAACATTCAGTTATATAATTTAAAAAAGGAAAATGTTACATTATTAACAATTGTTTCAAGCCATGTCTTATCACACAAGAATTCTAATTTTAAAGCTACAAAAGGGAAGGTAGAAAACTGGGAAACAATTTTTACCACCAGTCTCTCTGATAAGGGCCTCTTTTCTAAAATACATAGAGAATTAAGTCAAATCTATAAAAATACAAGTCATTCCCCAATTGATAAATGGTCAAAGGATATGAACAGGCAGTTCTCAGATGAAGAAATTAAAGTCATCTATAGTCACATGAAAAAATGCTCTGAGTCACTATTGATTAGAGAATGCAAATCAAAACAACTCTGAGGTACCACATCACACCTATCACATTGGCCAACATGACAAAACAGGAAAATAATCAATGTTGGCGAAGATGTGGAAAAACTGGAACACTACTGCATTGTTGGTGGAGTTGTGAAATGATCCAACCATTTTGGAGAGCAATTTGGACCTATGCCCAAAGGGCTATAAAAATGTGCATACCCTTTGACCCAGCAATAGCACTTCTAGGGCTATATCCCAAAAAGATCATACAAATGGGAAAAGGACCTACATGTACAAAAATATTCATAGCAGCTCTTTTGTGGTGGCAAAGAATTGGAAATTGAGAGGATGCCCATCAATTGGGGAATGGCTGAGCAAGTTGTGGTATATGAATGTAACGGAATACTACTGTGCTACAAGAAATGATGAAGAGGCTGATTTCAGAAAAACCTGGAAAAACTTGTGTGGTCTGACGCTGAGTGAAGTGAGCAGAACCAAGAGAACATTGTACACAATAACAGCCACATTGTGTGATGACTAATATCGACAAACTTAACCCTTCCCAGCAATACAAGGATCTAAGACACCTCCAAAGGCCTCATAATGGAAAATGCTATCCACATCCAAAGAAAGAACTATGGAAGTTGAATTGCTATTTTTTTAATCTCTTCTGTTGAGTTTTGTTTCCTCTTTCTGGTGGTTCCTCCTCTTGGTTCTAATTTTTATTTACAACATCACTAAGGTGAAAACATGTTTAATAGGAATGTATATGTATAACCTATATCAGATTGTGCGCCATCTTGGGGAGGGTGGTGGGGAGGAAGGGGGAGAAAAATTTTAAACTCAAAAGCATATGGAAGTGATTGTTGATAAATCAAAATAAATTAATAAAAAATTTTTTAAAAAAATATAGCTACAAAAGGCCTACATGCAGTTAATGTGAAAACCTTTCCATTAGCAATATTTATCATACTGTTTCTACCTTGAAAACATTGTGTACCAAAAATTATAGATAAATTTTCAGATAATAATGTTTAAAATTCAACATTCTCTATACAAAGCCAATAATTCTGTGTTCCACTTCTTATTTTGAGGAAGGTAGATGTCTCAGTGGATAGATCACTGAGCCTGCAGTCAGAATGACTTGAGTTCAAATCCAGCCTAATAGGCTTACTAATTGTGTGACCCTGGGCAAGTCACTTAACCTCTGTCTCAGTTTCCTCAATTGTAAAAGGAGATTATGATAAACTACCTCACAGGGTTATTGTAAGGATCAAATGAAATAATATCTGTAAAGCACTTTACACAATACTTAGCACAAAATACAT